TTTCTGTTTTATGTTGTTTCTTGAATACCCTATTACATCCAATTATTACAGTTTATATGTTCGCGGGTGTAGCCTATACACTGGATCATGTAAAACCTATACTAAGAAGTAATAATTCTTCTTCCCCAAGCAGTTATAAGCTGCCAATATTCTCCCATAAGAGATTGAGACCTATAGATCTTTCCAAATCTATAACTAAACTTTGGTTTGCTTGATCTTGTGCAGAGAAGAATGTCTGTGACTTCATGATATTGTAATTTTGCTAAGTGGTTGTGTTGACAAATTGTTTTCTGCTAGTTATACTTTTACCTATTTACCTGGAATGTTCACAACCTCGGCCAGAGAAGCTTCTTTTTGCAACAGGCAATGCAGATACACATAACTGTTCAAAGTGCTGACAGAAAGAGACTGAGTTCTAGGCTCTACATTTCATTACCACCACCACTCCTCCACCACATACACATACCAAGGCCAGGAGACATCCTTATAGGAATTAGTAGTACATGCCACATCTTTTTTCATAACTGGAAAAATGAGAAATAAAATAGTTCTGAGTAAGGTAAAGATGTTTGTATGTAAAAACATTAAATAGTGAATATCTGCCACATGACAAAAGTGGAAGAAAAGTTTCCATAGTGGTGGGGCTTGATAGTGACTCTGGGAGAGTCAGTCCTTAGGAGGCAATGAGATGGTAAAATTTGGGCAGCAATTCGATATCAGGACCACTAATGATAGATAATATTTACTTACTCTTATAAGCCAGAAAATAAAATGATTGAAAGAATACAAACATTGTGTTTCAAAGTACATGAAGACAGATCATGAACATAATGAAGAGGATACAACTGTCAATCTGTTCCATCATTGCTCAACAATTGAAGAACAATCAAGATATTCAAGTTGAGTATCTTCCAGAACACTTTCTCTCAGTTGAAACTATCATATCAAAGATTAGTAGGAGTTTCTTCCTGCGGTTATAATATACAGTGTTATTTCCATTGACACATTTATTCACTTTTGTATGAAATATATTGTAACTTTTAAAAGAACAAAAACAGGTGATAATAGGTATAACTTTTGTGAATAATTATGATAAAATCAGGAAGGAGATATGAACAACTCTAATATGAATCTCTATTCCCTGTGCTCTGATAAAGAGCTATAATCAATAGTATATGAATAAGTATAGAAAAACTTGAAAGAAAGCCCTTCTTTTAGCCTGAAGAGAATAATGATTCTGACAAAAAGGAATTGTGAGTTAAAAGGTAAGTTTTCAAAATACAATTTTGCATCTGAGGAAGATTAAGGAGAAAACATTCTAAGACCTTGCTGAGCAATGAAAGATGTTCAGTTTTAGGGGATGTTTGTTCCACCACACTTCACATGGAGATCATCACACAGAGTGAGAGGATATTCCCACTGTTAACCTCATTCACTCTCAAAGTCGTGGTCACTGGATAGTGATCTGCTTCCTCAGATTTTGATAGAGTCTCTTACTGAGCAATTGAAGATTCTTATTTCAGTCTCCTTAGTCCTAGAGTCCTGACGTGTGCCTTAGACTTTCACAGAGGACTCTACCTCCTCATTCTTAGAATTTGCTAACACCAGAATGCCAGTACCTGATACGTTGCCTTACATATCTATTGAAGCTATATGATTTCCTGATGAAGTAGCCTAAAAAAGCCCTATTAGAAGTCTTTTAGATAATGGCTTCAGAAAGGACACAAAATATAAAGCAATAGAAGGAAGAAATAGATTTATCTCCAAAATCTATTTACTTACTTTGAAATACACCATGAGTAAAGTTGTAACTAAGGTATAAATCATTGACTTGGCTTTCAGCTCCAGGTTTGTCTGTCAGGGGTGAACCAGACTTCCCCACACTGCTTAGGTCATGACCCTATGTGCATCTATCTGCTAGAAATAGAAAAGCATGAGGTTAAGTTATCTTTTCTTCAGAGTTATAGCATGTTGTGGGAAAACTGTGGATTCCATGACAATAGTGAGGTTCACTATCTTTAGGCTCCAGGATGTTGACACTGAATTTGAAATCTGCCACTTTCTATAATGCTGACAATGAAATGATTCAAGATAAAGACTGTACAGAACATCTTGTGTGGAACTCTGGTGCCTGATTTAGTTACGCGGATTCCAGTGTCAGCTCATGCCTTAATTGGCCTGAGGATGATAGCAGCAGTATCCCTGAAACCACAGGAAGAAAGAGGAGACCAGATCTACACAACTGCCATGCTTTGGGCTGAAACCAAATATGAAACACAAATAGAATAAGACTGTGTTAGAGGCTTCATTTTCATTCCAATATCTAGACATATTGATATTCCTTTTATGAGAAATTCAAAATAAATTCCATAATGAAGGATTACATCACAATAATCCTTGATTTATAATAGAAAATGATAAACAATGTAGCTGTGGAGAAATCATAAATCTTTGCATTGCAATTGGAGAAGGTCCATAGAAAGCATGGGACCTAATGAAGAGCCCAGAGATATACCTGCCACCTAGCTGACCAATTCCACCCCTAGGCATGAATTCAGCTGTGTAAAAGTTTGCACACTAGTGTTAGCATCAACATTATTCAGAATAGGCAAAGAGGGAAAATGCCCTTTATGTGAATCCCTAGATAAGTAGAAAAAGAAATCTGAGAATAAGCCACACTATGAATTATAGAAAAAAAATAAGTATAAGGTCGTACCTTGCCTAATAGTAGGAATAAATTCTGTCTAATGTCTAATGAAATTTTTTGTCATTGTGTAAATACCAGAGAGGAAACATTTATAACCCTAGATTATGCAACCATCTACCTACCCAGTCTTTTCTTTAAATGTGATTGTTTCTTGTCAAGATACCTGTAGACAAAATGAATAGGTTGGCTATTGGCCTCAGTAATAACACAATAGTATGTAATTATAGATGTAAGAAGGTCTAAACAATCAGTGGTTTACAGTATAAAAGGGGAAATATAGACACCTATAGAGTGTATGCATTGTAAATAGAGATTGTAGGCTAAAACTTGCCCTGAGGAAATCAGAGTGACAAAAGACTGAAAGTGAAGGTTACTACAAACCACAGACATGTCCCTGAGTTTACAGCTACAACAGTAAATAGCTTACAACTCTGGGATTCTCCACTGGAAACATACATCAACTTACATCGAGATCATTACTCATCACTGACTCACCCGCTGCAGCAACGCAGTGTGAGTCACAGGCTGAGTGTGTGAACAACTAACTCCCACATGTGCATTTCATGTTCTCTTTACTACCTTTGACTGTCTTCAAACTCTTCAGTTTTTATGAGACTAATCCAGTTACTTATTTCTTGTATTCATTCCAGTTACATTCAATAAGATATGTTTCAATACTGTACAAATTTGACATCCTTATCTTTCCCTTCTTCAACTTCAACTTTGGAATTCATGTAGGACATTTTATTTCAGCATGCTGTGATGATACTGTCCTGAACTTTTTGACATAAGGTTTTTGCTTTTGATTAAGTTTACTGAAGTTTATCCAGCAATGTCAAAAACCAAGAATGGACTGAATTTTCTCTTTTTGATGGAGTGAGGACAGGAGAGTCCACTGCTGTGACCCCTCTATTCTAGAGAAGGAAGAAAATAAGAGAATGTGGAAGGGAGAAGAGTAGACTGGAAAGTTAAAATTTTTCTTGGTTTATTTTCAAGAAAACTATATAAAAAAGGAAAATTTAGAAGCAATACTATTTGTGGAATAAATAATGTTTCTAATATATGATAGTCACATTGTATTGGAGATTATGGCATTCCTTTGGGGGTAAATTGGTTCACCTTTGGCAGCAGATATCAATGCAAATACCTTCTTCGTTAGGGATGGGATGCTGTGTCTACCTCCCCTTCTCCCTGCCCAGACTTTGGGCAGTTTTGTGTGAGATATTACAATCTTTGGGAAGCCATGTGTGTATCAGCCCAATTGTGTCTGGATAATAATATTTCTTTGGAGTCATTCATCCACGACCTATGGCTCTTACAATATTTCTGCCTTAAAAGAAAAGTTTTATCAGCAGGTTTTTCCTACTGCATGGATACAAAATACTGATCAGACTCCTCAACTTCTAAGAATACAATAATATGACAATAATAAAATATATGGTAATATATGAGTTTAGCAGCTGGCAAGAAAGCTTAGGGAGTGAATTCATCGATCCCCAAGTCTGATAATGTATGTGTGACCTCTTGAATTTATATAATTTTAGTGGTTTTATAAAACTTTAAAAAATCTTCATCCCCTAGTTTAGGGTTGGTCATATTGAACACAGATAGGGAGGCTATAGGCCCACAACTTTGGGGAAAACATATTTTGATCCAATCTTGAACTTCAAGGAGAGTCAGGGGTCCTGCTGGCAGAAGAAAAAGCCTCCCAGGCCTTTGCTTTTAAACTGTCCAGGGATTTGAGAATGGGGCCAGAGTATACCATCTTTATATTCAGAAACTTTGTCAGCATTATTGCCTATTAGTTGCCCATCTTTTTATTTCCCTGCTTATCAGGGATCTGTATAAGTCTTTGTCCCTCACATACATACATAAGAAGATTGTATGTGCCAATCAAAATCTTTTAGGAGACTGTTGGGGATTCTTGGCCCTTTTCTTTCTTTCTTTCTTTCTTTCTTTCTTTCTTTCTTTCTTTCTTTTTTTCTTTCCTTTTTCTTCTCCTCCTCCTTCTTCTTTTCTATTTAAAACTCCCTTGAATTTTATTTGCTGAATGAATACAAATAGATACCATGATCCAGATGCATCATAAGTACTGAACTGTATTTTTAGTAAATCAAAAGTAAACCCATGCTTCTGGCACTGAGAAAGAGGAGGAATCTTCACAGTAACTTATTCCAAAGCCACTCAGTGTACTTCAAAACCAACTTTATCTGAATAATGATCTCAGCAGGTAGAGTCACCAGGAGGAGCAGCTGAGCCAGCCCACACTTGCACTTCTGCTTTGCTCAATGGTTTAGTTATAACTTGTTCCACTGTAGGTGTAATCGTAGTTCTGTTGGGAATAGTAAGTTCCAATACCTTCTGGCTCCACGCTGCTGATGGTGAGGGTAAAATCTCTCCCATACCCACTGCCACTGAACCTTGATGGGACCCCATCTTCCAAACTAGATGCATCATAGATCAGGAGCTTAGGAGATTTCCCTGGTTTTTGCTGATTCCAGCTTAACACACTGCCAATGCTCTGACTGGCTTGACACCTGATGGTGACTGTGTCTCCTAGTGATACAGTCTGAGATAGAGACTGGGTCATCTGGATGTCACATCTAGAACCTGGATTAAGAAGAGGAAAACACAACAAAAACTATGTAACGCTGTCTTCAAAAGTCAATGCATAGAGTTCCATGACAGCCAGGCAGTGCTGACCACTCTGACATAAGCACTGCTGCCCTCCATACCTGAAATCCAGAGCAGCAGCAACACCAGGAGATAAGCAGGAACCCTCATGTTCGTGATGTGTCTTGACTGGGACTGTCTGCTGCACAGTGTGTGACCAGCCTATTAAGAATTCCTCAGGCCCACTAGCCTGCCTGCAGTGAGCTAGGTAAGTCCTTTGTTTACGAGATACGGCAAGCAGCAAGGAGATCCGGTCCAGGCACCAGGAGAGACATCACTGGGGTGAGTGAGTTTCTGACCGCGGCAGCAGCCCTGGACAGGGAACTCAGACACCCCTCCTACACTTCCTGGTCATCCTCAGGGGCTACTCTGCCCGATACCTCCTCTCTCTTTCTATCCCACCCAGCTTGCATCCACAACCCTCCCCTGCTCCGTCTGACTCCCTTCCCTCTTTGACCACATAACATCTCCCAGC